TTTGACATGCTTGGTCCAACGTCCTCATCAACACCACCATGCTCATGATCATGCTCACCATCCTCATCAGCCATAAGCATCGCCATCGCTGTCAGCATCGTCGTTATCACCACCACCATCATCGGCATCAACCTTATTGCGATTGTAGTCATCGGCACTACGTACTCCCTTAAATCCGCTGCAACCACACGGTCATGTTTCTCGCGCTAAATCTTCAAAGCACGGAAGCCGCCGAATTGCCACTTAAAATAGCACAACGCCACAAAACCACTTTAGGTTCGTATAGAAGCCCCTGCATACTAATCAAACCCCAGTGCCAATGTGAACCCACACCTCGAACCCTTAATCCTCCCCCCAAAACCCCTTGCTGGCGCCGGGCCTTCCTGACCTCGCAGTGGCATGGGGGTCTTTCGTGGCTTTTTGCTGGGACGGCCATCTTCGTCAACCTCGGATGGAGCTTTCTGTTTGAAGTTTCAGGTGCAAGCTGGCAATCAAAGGAATCTGCAAGGTCTAAGTCCCCACTGAGCTGGACTTCTGTTCGGTTTTGAATTCATTCTAAGTGGGAGGCATTCGGGTCTGAAGATTTTGTGTTTAGCGCAGTAGCCATTCGAACAGGGCAGCAGCAAGCACAGCTTTGATGCTACCTGGCCCAACACTGCAAGGACGTAGTCGAAGATGGAAATCCCATCAGGAGGTCGGGCTCCCCTAAACCTGAATCCATCTCAACCCCCTACACTACACCCCAAACCCCCCAGAACCCCTGAACCTAGAGCCGGTACATCACTTCCCACGAACTGCCCTGACCCGAGAAACCAACTAGATTCGAAGCACGCGGGCACAGCCTCCATGATCCGTCAAACCGTCATTGCTTTTTTCTGGTACTGTGGCAATTAGAGTGTCTTTACCGCTAGTAGCCTCAGCTGTGTCAAATCGAAATGAACCCAGCAAGATACGGATCGAAACACTAGTTCAGCACGCACATCTACGTCAAAACAAATGCCCTGCACAATCCCGAACTCAAGATGATGAACCCCCAAAGCCATCAGTTTAGCAAGCACGGACCATGGATGCCAAGACCAGATGCCAAAGCCTCAGCCCCTCGTGCCTGTACGCTTCACGAGTGGGTCCCCACGATGCTGCTTGAAATAGTCATGACTAAGCCCTGACCCTGAATTTCGAGAAGTTGACGAATTATACCGAAAATCTGAGAAATTGACGGCTTAAACTTAATTACCGAAAATCTGAAACTTTTGGACCAAGACCTCCGGTCCTTACGTGATGTCTCAGATCCCGGCTGGCGTCACAGACTTGCCTGAATCCGCCAGTTCAAAAGCAAGTATAGGGACCCTTTGGGGGGTAGGCTATTTCAGGAAGTACAATCCCCTACCCCCCTCCTCCTTAACCCCCCTAAGGGCCCTATGAAGCAAGCAACACCCCTCTCAGGCAAAAGGATTGGAGAGTTGTTTTATGTTGGAAAGCTTGAGTTTGGGGCTTTCCAGGGTTTGCTTGCAAGGGCTGCCAACTCCAGATCCACCTCTTCGGGGCCCAGGAGCTAGTATAAATATACATAGAAGGGCCCTTTGCGTCTCTTCTCATGTTTGCCGGTTTGGGCGTCTACTCTCGCCCTCAGCCAGAAGGTTAAAGAGCACCCAAAGTGCACCCAGCATTGCAAAGCCTATGATCCGAGTCCTCGAAGCCAAACCTGCAACAGCTTGACGGCCCCATGAACAAAGGGACAAGCATGAACTTGCCTGGGAACTCGGCAAAGAGGCAAGCCCTAACAGCCCTTAACTCCAAATCCCAATTCCTTATCTCCATACATCTGCTCCGTCACTAACGATTTGAAATACCCTCCTCTTCCTTATTTGGGATCCCTGCCCTTATAAAGAACCTGCTAGAAAGCCCTAAGCCCCAAACAGCCCCTACCACCCTTCGAGACTAGGGATCCCAGCTGTAGCTGGCACAGCAGCCCATGCTTCCAACAGCGCCCACGAGGGGAGGGCGCAGAAGGGCCCGGAAAGCCGACGACTAAGCAGAGCCACGGAGGTTTCCCTATCATTTTAAAGTTGTTAGGGGTTCGGATGACTTAAGCTGCGGGTTCAGGGATGATAGTTTGGAGCACACATGGGTGCGAGTAGTGCGGTTACGAGTGTCTTGTGCTATCACTGTTTCTATTACAACCGTTGTCTTCATGCTATTGCTGTGAAGTAGGTTTAGGTGGGTTTCACGACTTCGCAGTCTAAGTCTAATCGGATAGGAGGCCATAGAGTTGAAGTTGAGCTCGTATCAAAAAACAAAAAACAAACAAAAGAGCTCCGAACTCAGATGCTTTGATCCGAAACTCGAGCATAGAGGGAGTTCTGTTTGGGGATGTCTGGAGCAGTGGCTTCGGAAGTGCTTGGAAGGGCGTGGGGGAGACGCCGGATGCGATGAGTGTCGGAATTCAAGGTTTAAGGTTCAAGGGCTGGTGGAGTTCTATGTTTGATCTTCAGACAGGTGCCTATGCATCCATTGCCGTTTTAGCTCAGCTTCTTCTCAATATAAGCATTAGGCCTTTTGCAGAGAACACTCGCTTCACTGCCGGATCCGCGGTATAGGTCTGAAACAGAAGGATTCGGCTTTAGGGAGTAGGCACAGGGCTTACACCCTGTACTTTAGACAATTCGTGTCTTGAAGACGTCCTTCCGAGTCTTGCGGTCTGGCCCTCTTTAGCCTCGAGGTCTGCAATGCAGCTAAGCGGAGGTTTCTAACACAAATTCGTTGCCTCCCAAACACAACCGGGCACTTTGGAACACAACAGCATGGGTCATTTTAGGTGGCTTCCAGCTTAGGGTCCCGGATTCCGGACTCCTTTTTTGTCTGCTTCTGAAAAACGGCGCGGCGCGCCGGCGTGCTCCGAATTCCTGTTCTTTCGGTCCAGAGATCTCTCGAAGTGGGCTGGTTTGCAGTTTCGGGTTCAGGGTTCAAGGTTTTAGGACCTGTCGAGTTTAAGATTTCAAGGGGTTTGGGTTTAGGGTTTAGGGTTTAGGGTTTAGGGTTTAGGGCTTAGGGTTTAGGGTTTAGGGTTCATGACTTCTTTATAACTTTATGGCTGTTGTACAGTCTAAGGCTTTCGGCTTTCGAGCGCTTGGGGCTTCAGAGAGTTGATGGCTTTCAGGCGTTGGGCGTTCTTTAACAGGGTCGAGCTTTTAAACGAGTTCCGAGGGAAAAGTCTCAATGCAGTGCGCCCAATCTTTTCCTACCGTTTAGACCCGACAAAGCTTGCACCCGAACCTCTGACATCTCGACCTAGACGTGAGCAAACTATACTGCTCATCCATTGTCTTGTTCAGATGCAATCTTTGGGCTAACCACCTGTATGGTGAGGATCCTATATGTTATATTGATGAACAAGGTCATCAAGAACTGCAGCTGAGTGGAGACAGCAAGTAGACTCCTGCCTATTCCTGCTGCATCTCACCACGCAGCGTGATGCGAGTTGGTTGCTAAATTGAGTGTCTAGGGTGTCTAGGGAACCATCCTCAACTAGGGCTTTTGGTGTCGGCATCGTTCGGGAGACCGCTGATGCAACTAGGACTTGGCATGCGGCTCTCCAGCCGCCCGATCTAAAAATCCATAGGACCTCTCGAGTTATTGCAGATTCAGGATGGACGTGGAGCCGGAGACCTTAAGCAACTGTGTAAACCGTTGCTCTAGGTCAGTACGTTCCTGATGTGACGGGCTGGGCACGACAAGAGATGAATACAGTTTCTTTACCCGACATGCACCACATCTGTCACGGCTAAGTTCAGCACGGCTCCCTGACAGCTTGACCCTGCATCTAATAACCCCTATGCTCTCAACCTTATGAAAAACCATTTTCCTTGGTCTGTTGATGCCAAAGTCTGCCAAATCCTAGCTCATTTGCCTGCTAGCTCTTTGAGCAGCAGAGATGCTACTGGGAAATCTCGGCCGGACGCCCTGCGCTAGACTCAGCCCTTTAGAGCAAGACACTGACTCTTCAGTCAACCTGCTGGACTCCAACAACCCATGCAGAATTCACAACGTGCCAGAAGCAAGAGCCACAGAGCCTTAGACGCGCGTTAGTAGCAGCAGTCGATGTCGTCGTTGTGGTGTTGCTGATACTTTGGAGCCGTCTCAGCTAGCTCTGGAAATAGCTGACAAGCCCTCAACCACAAACACAGCAACCCCCCTGAAGCAGAGCAACACGAGTCGGAATGTAGAATTACCACAGATCCGGTATTTAGTTTCCTGATGTTCGTAGGGCTACGAGACGGCCGTTCCTGCCGAGTATGTGCAGAGTGAAACCCTGGGGTCCATGCAGATCATGCTTGCGAGATGCCTCTGCGAAGCACGGCATCGGGTCTGTGGCTTCAAGGCGTCTTTGCTCATGTGTGTGTGAACGTGTGCAAGTCGGATTGGATTGCACTGGTCTGCGAGAAGCCTTTGCAGCAAAAAGGACGTCGAAAGGGAAGAAGAGAGAGAGAGAGCAAGAGAGAACTAAAGTTACATATGTATATGCAACACTAGTAAATTTGTCAACTGTCCAAATTTCCCCCCAACCCCTGAATTTGCATGTCTGCGCAGTAGAGTGAAGAGGATACATCATGGGGCAAGTTTGTGTTCGTCCAAGTTGTTTGGACTTGATTGGGACCTCGGAAGTCCCTATAGCAGTTAGACCAGGGATTTGGGGCGTAATTGTAGAAGGTAGTATAAGTAAAAAATCATAAGGAAGCCCGAGGAATGGTGTCGGTAGTTCTTCAGACTTCTTTTTTGGAACTCGTGTGATGGCCGGGAAAGCAGCCTTCTTCGATCCTGTTGCGCTCCATGCCTCTCCTCCTGCTCTTCTCAGCAAGCTTTCAGTCAGAAGTCCTTTTTCATGAAAGAAACACCCCAGCCAAGCATGGCGAAAGCCTAATTACACGCTGAATCCTGAACCCTAACCTCCTGAAGTCACCAAGCCTTAGTAAATTCAAACCCACAGCCCTGAACCACACGGCCTAACCATGGTGATGCTCCGCGATGGTCAAGGTGTGCATGTCCTTGGTTCTAAGCACCCTAATACTGATGGCGATCATCGCAAACGAAGTGAGAATAATGACGGTAACAATCCCTTTTAAAAGCGTAAACATAATCATCACCATCGTCATCATCATTCTCATAGAAGTTTTCAGAATCGCAAAACTGACTGTCCCACGGAAATCTCCAACGATTACGACGACAAAGAGTACCTGACAATGGCTCTAAAGGGTGTGTAAGGTTCTGTAAAGGGTTTATCAGGATGCCTCCAGCCATATAAGAACCCTGCGGTCGCTAGTAGTGAGCACTGCGGCTATAGGAGAGGCTGTTTGGCAGGTCAAGGTCTGGATTCAGGGCCTTAGCCTCCATGCTAATGTTTGGGATGGTGGGGGAGCCCTGCACGTGCTGCGGGTCAAAACACTCTACTGACAGCATGTAAGTTTTCATTGTCAGATGAACAGTGTGTTCTGTCCTTAGCAGCATCTGAAGGTGACAGATAGCCGGAAGTCCCCGATGCATGGTGCAATAAACTTGGGGACATCAAGAACCTCAATCGTGTATCGTAGCCTTAAATCCTGAGTCTAAACACGAACCGACAGTGCTGCAACATCCTAGGCAGGCGTTTGAATCCGTTTCACCATTAGACCATGTAGATTTTTGACGAACACACCCCCTGTCTTTCCGGGAAACAGGGGCCTTCATACGATATTTCTTGCTACAATCTCAGCAAGGGAGGAGGTCTTGAAGCTCTAGTGTTTGCATTATGCCATAAGCAACCCGCTCCAATGAATGTAACAGGAAGAAGCGTGAAGACTTCAGAATGTCGAGATGCGACCCAGCTCAGCCCGGCCAAGCTCAAAACCACTTCTTCAAAAGCTGTACCTTGAAGCCTAAACCCCGAAGTAGGAGCCCTGATCAAACCCTCTGGCAGCTGCTTCGAAGACTCAGGCCCGTTTATGAAGGCCAAGCGTCTCCCGTGGCCACAGCCCTAACTCGATACTGCGACAGCGTGACGACCTGAGGAGACGTCTGTGCACTGGGGCCTTCGAACATCAGGATTTCTCAAGCTTAAGGCTCATAGGCTGCAGAGGTTGTGGTGGATCTTGACGGGGGCCTAGAAGGCTATAGGACTCGGATGCTCTAGCCATGAGGGTTGGCGGATTCGGGGGGATGTTATCGCTACCTCGGCCGAAGCACACGGGTCGCTAAGCTTCAGGACCGAGGTAGTTCTGTAGATTATTAGGCTTCCTTTGGGGATCATTCTTAACGGGCCCCACACCCTTCATTTGGGCTCCGAAGTTCTCCGAAACGGGACCCTAATTAAACAAAAGAACTACCCGCCTGCTTAAGGTTGAGTGGACGATTTTTGCAGGGTTTAGTTTAGTCGTTTAGGGATGCCATGTCATGTGCAACAGTTTCATTCAAAACACGGGTCATACCAACTGGGGACTTCAGCTGCTACCTATACACTGTGACAAACTCTAAACCTTAACCCCAAAATCCCGCAACGACATCCCGACATAAGGGGCTGGCTCGGGTCGGTAGCCACAGCGTCGCAACGCCATTCTCGTAGAGCTGGCCAGAGCGACCGATCATGTTGCCCCGAATTCGGAGGGGTGTAATGTAGGGGCCTGAATCATTACCTATACTATTTCGGGGGTTCCTTATGATAATTATAGTATAATGGGCTCCAAAACCCTATTCCATTTATTAAGGCCCCTATGTTAAGTGTCTACGAGTTGTGTGTGCGCCTGTGACTCTCTATGTAAACTTCCCGTTGCCTAAGAATTGAAGACTCCTTATAGTTCAATTACCACGGGAGGGGTGCAGAGTTTCTGGGTTTCGGGTAGAGTGCTTGTCTAGGGGTTTGGGAATTTCTGGGTTGCAGGCGAAGCAAAGCTGCTGCACAACTGCTTTGGGGAATAGGTTTGGGCTGCACTTGTCAGGTATTCCTGGACCTGCTCCTGCGCGAACCCTACAACAACCCTCATCCAATAACTTTACGGCCCGGCACGACCCTGCGAGAAGTACATCCTGCAGGAATTTTCGGAGTGAGCTTTCACGGGGCCTTAGGTACCGGAACTTGGAAAATGGCAGGTAGCCAAGAAATGTTTCAACGATTCGGTGCTTTCGCGGCCACGAAATTTCGAGCGAAATTCCTTGATGCACGAACTGGCCACAGACTCGAAAGTGAACTATTTTCAAGCAGACCAAACCTGATTAGACAGCTACACTCAGCGCGAATCCTGAAGCTCTCATCGACCCGCAGACTAACAGATAACCGAACTCAATTACCTGTCAGGGCCCTCAATCCCCCTCCAAGACCTAAACTAAACAAAAAACAACCGTAACTCCTCAACGACTAATCCTTTGAACCCGTAACCCACACCCCACCTTGGGCTGGTCCATTTCGACTTTGTTGCGCGCCTTGCAGAACGTGAGGTTTGGGGTTAGAAGGAATACACGTCTCTTTCAGTTCAGGGGTGGGGGAACGAACCTAAGCTCCAAAACTCAAGCTCTGACTGACTACAGGCCCCCATCATAACCCAGCTTAAACAGTACCATGAACCCTAAACCCTAAACCCCATAGCCTACCTTAAACGGTACCATAAACCCTAAACTTAAACCCCACAACCTACCTTAAACGGTACCGTATACCCTAAACCCCACAACCTACCTTAAACGGCACCGTAAACCCTAAACCCCACAACCTACCTTAAACCGTACCACAAACCCTAAACCCCACAACCTACCTTAAACGGTACCGTAAACCCTAAACCCCACAACCTACCTTAAACGGTACCGTAAACCCTAAACCCCACAACCTACCTTAAACAGTACCACAAACCCTAAACCCCATAACCTACCTTAAACAGTACCATAAACCCTCCATCTTAGGGGTTGTGGTGGTCTGAAACCCGGCCAGCAATGTAACAAGTGGCCTCTGCTTGGCTTTGCGGGGTGATTGGTTATCTAAAAGTGCATAGCAAAGATGTGAGCCGTACCAGCCGTACCAGACACTGCTGAGTTGCTGGTGTCCGGTTCGGCGCTTGGCTGAAAAGAGCTGCTGCCTAAACCCTGAACCCGCAAACTTTAACACAAGAGTTGCGGGTATCAAAACCCTGGCCTTTGCCCGCTCTCGCATGGATTGCAGCTGGAGCATCTGATGCTGCGACAGGGGGTCTCCTGACAGATATGTGTGTACATATCTATCTATCTACCTTTGCACACACACACATATATAGCTGCATATGTATATGTATATGTGTATGTATATATATATATATATATATATATATATATATACACACATATTGCCTGTTTGTATGTGCCTATTTCATCACACAGACTTGTACGCATACATGACATTATTTGTCATAAGGTTAGGGTTGTGTACACGGTCTCCGGGGGGGGGTTGTTTTCAAGTTTATTTGCACAAGCTAGTTGCCTTACACCCAAGTTCACGGCTCTCAATTAATTACCAATCCTAAAGATGCAGAAACCGATGGGTTGACGATGGTTCGCCTCTTGAGTGGCCCCGTTGCAATAGACTCAAACACATGTCAGGGCTAGGGGCTGTTGGCGATGCCGCGAAATCCTGGTGCTCACGAAGTTTGACTGCGATGTCTTCAACTGCTGTCGCGACGGACAGCTCAAAATTATGGCCAATTTTTGGGTACCCTAAATGATGGGTGCCAATTAAAATCGGGACCCAAAAAGGGACCAGAATTTTGACAACCACTCAGATGGAAGCCAGCCGTGACTGCTGCAACCCGCAAAGAACTTGAGCCAATCCCAAACCTTCAGACTTCGTCTGATCTACAGAATTCTAGTGAAACCGCAAATTCCGACGAGCCCGAGTCCACCAATAGTATAGCATGCTATAGTCCACGATCGTATCTTACAGTATAATACAGTCTGGGAAAGCATGGCATGGTACTGCACAAACGAAAGCAGGCAGTCCGTTGTCGTGCTGCGTCTGCGCGTCGGTATTGCCTTAATGAAACACAGACCACGTCTTCTCTGCTGTTCATGAAGCTCCGCCCGGCTCAAGAGCGAAGGCTACTTACTTTCCACTACACAACGTCGGCAAACCAGGAGACAGAGCAAAACCAAAATCAGGATGGACCGGCTTTCGCAGCCCTGATCCACTTGGGGTTTCCTGTACATGAATCCTAAATATGCATTTATGGCTTCATGCTAGTTTATTTTTGTATTTTTGTTTAATTAACAGTTCAGGTGTCCATGAGAGGAGATTTTCACTTGAAAAAGTAATAGAACCAACTGTGATAGATGCGACATCCCCATGCAATCCAACCGAAAACCTGTAATTGAATGCTAAATCTACTATCGTAGTCCCAAACTACATTCTGACTTTTTTTAAATCTTGGCCAAAAACCAACAGTCCCAAAATACATTCTGAGATTTTAAATCTTGACCAACAACCAAACCCCGAGCCCCTCAGGAGAAGCTGCTCTTGACCGTCGGAAAGCCAAGCTGACCATGACCTCGAGGACGGGAGGGGAGATAGGCTTTGGGGTTTAGAGTTTAGGCTTCTTCGGGGGGGTTCAATTCGGGGGAGTGGGGGTGAGGGTGGGGGTGGGGGAGGGGAGATAGGGTTTGGGGTTTAGGGTTCTTCGGGGGTTCAACCTATGTTGGTGCATGGTTTAGGTTTACCTGACTTGCTCGAGCTTGTTGGAAGGTTTGCAGTTTCGGATCCCGGGTTACGGACTTGATGATCATGATGGGGCTTAGGGTCATTGGGTTTTGAACCTGTGCACACTGTTTGACTTCTCCTGAAAAGTAGAGTCTCTGTTGGGCCCCCTTCCCCCTAGAATACGGCCAAACTGTTCAGATGTTGAATTTGTCGAGACCTCAGGACTCCCCGCGTAGGGCTTAGGGCTGCGGGATTCAAGGCGTGGCCTTGCAGCCGGTAGCTTGGCGGTTGATGTACCCGATGTCGGAAACTGCATGCTAAAAACGGCTAGACTTGTAATGCAGACGCCTGTATCGTTGAACAAGATGTTACTGGTTTCTATACCAGAATTACACATGCATAAAAACTACATGAGATATGTTTCCTTTTGATCCGGCCCCTTGGCTGAGGAGATTAAGGTATGGTGGGGCTGTCGTTTCAAAACACAAAGTGCTTCTGTCGTATCGAAGCAGCCGTTCTCTCCGAAGGCATACACTTCACCTGTGGTGGTTAACACCTGATGCAGGTGGCTTAGGGTCTACGGTTTGGGAATGTCGGGCTAGGCTTTCAAAGCGTAAGTAGGGCTTTCGGGGTTCAGGTGTGTAGGGTTTGGTGCCTTGGCTGTTGGGAGATTCGAGCTTCAGCCTTTCGGAAGGCAAACAGCGAGCCGCAGGTCTTGAGTTCCATGTCAGGACCAAAAGTCTTTGTTTCGCTGCGAGGTATCTCGTAGCAGTGTTCATGTTAGGATCCGTGCGACCGAGAAGCACAACTAGATACAGCCGCCTACTTGATGGTTCACGAGTAGCCAACACGAAGAGTCCAAGCACCAATGATCGTATCTGCGGTTAGCTTACATAACTAACACTCACGAACGACCATGATCAAGCCCTCCAAACCCTCCACACTGAAGCCCTGGAAGTGCTTCGCTTCGGGATGAGAGGCTCGGAACATCGAACTCAAAACCATAAGTATCAAGGGGTAAAGATGATGAGATCCGCATTGTGAAGGTTCGAAGATGAGGTTTCGTGGGTTTGGGGCTTGGCAAGGTTTAGAGCCGGAGGCGGTATGCTTTGATCCTAGACCTTTTGGGTTTAGTTTTGAGAAGTGTATTTTTGTTTCAGGGGATCCTTACTAAAGAGGTTGCGGGATTTTCCACAACTACAGAAGCCACGGCAGGGAACACTTTCCAAGGGTCATAGTGAGACCAGGATTTGGGGGATGTTTGATCATACTATGATTACGCAGGGACCACACAGTTCTATACAGCCACGAGAGGTTATTGAGCTCTGTATTTATATAAACAAACTCATTCTTATATTTCATTATGCTGTATTACATTTCGGGGACCTGAAGACCTGAGCCGCCGAAGGAGGCGGCATCTAGGCTGAAGTTGCTTGAAAGGGTTTAGGGCTTTAGGCTGCAGGGCTTCGCTGGGAAGGCCTGGCCTACGAAACATTACGAAACCCCGAAGCAAGACCGATCTCCCGCCAGCGAGTGGTTCGACGCCGCCGAAGCCTTGCGGCTGCGTTTAGTTGGGTCTTTAAAGGTTTCCTGCGACTTCGTAGAATATTACACTCACCCTATTCTAATCATGAAGGCCCCTTAATGTCCTTAACAGCAGCCCCACGTGCCGAGATCAAATCATTGAACACGAGATTTCAAATTCAACAGCTACAGTCCTCGTGTGGACGATGATTGGTTTCATGCCGAGAACATAGGGGCCTAAACCCTAAACTTCTAAACGCCACTTCTTAATCAAAGGCTATCCATAAGTCCCTATAGATCTGAAAGCCCCAAAGCTTGCAAGTCGATATACTATGATAATCTAACCACCCACGGATCCTGCAATGGTAACGCTGCGAGCACCACCGTGGAAAGAGATAGGGTCCAGACCAAGGTCAGCAACTTCATGCCACCAAACTTTGGGGTTTGGGGTTAGTTAAAACTATTCACACCTGGTTCTAAGCCGTCAAAACAGACAAACTGCAGCGTGACATTCCGCCTGAAGCCCGAGCGCAACATTTGAAGCCTCAGACTACTTACTGTAGACACTAGACTCCGCAGACCTTGAAGTTCCCTTAAGCCGATTGCGGTCTTCAACTTGCAAACCCCACGGCGGACAGGCGTAAAGCGCCGTGACACAGCAGCGAAAATGGGAGTATGCAAACCCCAAAGCCATGTAACCCTGTAAACCTCAAAGAACAGTGCCGAGCCTGGCAAACCAGCATGCCCCGTCGGTTGCTCAACGCCTTGTGACGGTCCACTGCGATTGTCGAGACTGCTTCGAGCTTCGGGATGTTAAGGGGAGGGGAGGCGCAGTGCTCGATAAAGCTTCCCAATCAAAGCTCAAGCTCCGCTTTGACACCGGCTAAACCCAAGAGTAGTGCTGAAATGCCTCGTCCAGCTCCTGGACTTCGAAACCCGCTAAACCCGAAGCCCCAAACTCTAACTCCTTAGCCCCGAATCCTCAATCCTGAAGCCGTCAAGCCGCTCAAAGCAAGCCCCCCTAAACCCTAAACCACCCTAAACCCTAAAAGCCATAAACCCTGAACTTCCCTAAATCCCCAAACTTTATGACTTGCATTCGGGCTCCCGGCCGGCACCAAGGAGGGGCGCACACGCTGGGAGCCCTCGCCTCAGCTTTCAAAAGCTCCGGGGCCTGCCTTACGCACTCATGAGGTTTCGGGATAAGTAAAAAAGGCTTTCAGGTCGTACGGGGTTTACAGGGTTTGGAGGGTCGATAAGGCTTATAGGGCTTCTAAGGTTTAGGATTAGTTCTTCTTGTCAAGTGCTGCGGTGATCCAGACTTGTGCTTGCCGTCTCAGCCTCCGTCAAGTATAGATACACAGCCGCCGAAGACCACAAGGCTCAAAGAACCCCAAACCCTAAACCTAGAAACCCTAAACCCTGGACCTAGAAACCCTAACCCTAAACCTAGAAACCCTAAACCCTGAACCTAGAAACCCTAAACCCGAAACTCTAAGCCTAGAAACCCCAAAACCTGGAAACCCTAAACACAGAATACGGCTGATGATAAAAATCCTGCATGACCCATAATACCCAGAGGCCCCGAAGTAGTTCCTTTTGGGATTCCCTCATAAGATTCTATATATGAACCACAAAAAGGAACTACTATGGGGCCTTAGGGTAAGGAATAAACCATAATTCCCATAGTTTAGGGTCCTTAACTTCAGGTCATGCAGGATTTATACTATCAACAGTAGGACCCAGAACGGCGAAGCAGGCATTCCCACGAAGAGCAGCACTCATCCCGACAGTTAAACCCAGACTAAACTCCAAACCCTAAACCCGAAACCCCCAAAACAGAAACACTAGAAATGAAATCCCGAAAGCTAAACCCAAACACAGCCCCAAACCCTAAACCCGAAACCTGAACAACCCGAACCCTAAACCCTAAACTTTGTAAACCCTAAAACCCTCAAACCCAAAACCCTGCAAACGAAACAAAGCCCAAAGGAAGCCCGGCCACCGTTCATTCCGAGGCCAAGCTGTCCGTGAACATTGCTGCCCCAGGCCCAAACCTAGCAGCTTAGCAGGGTTTAGGGTTTAGGGTTCCTTCTTGGTGGGGGGGGATCCGAAAAGGGCCTTCTTAGGTAGGCTTAGGCCTTCAGGATCTCTTTTTCTCAGGTTTAAAGATATCTTGCGCAGGGCTTCAGGATATCTTGTTTTGGGTTTAAAGATATCTTGCTTATAGGGTTTGAAGAAATCTTGTTCAGGGCTTAAGGGTATTTAGGGATTAGGGCTCAGGGATGTGGGTTCAGGCTGAGCGTTCAGGTTTTCTAAGCGTTTAGGGGCTAATTAGGGCTTATAGGGCTTTGGTGCATTCGCCTCCTTCTGCACATGCGTCGCGTTGGGGTCGAGACTGTAAAGGGTTTGGGTTCTATTTACATTCATGGCTGTAGGTCATTATACGGGCCATCGCAGGAGTGGTTCCCTTACTTCTGGCTGATGGCATCTGATGACTGATTATGACCATACACAAAAGTGATTGCCCATGAGGGGCGTGGAGCAGGTCTGCGGCAACGGATTAGGCCGGCAGGAAGAATACCGGCGAGCCGATAACCGTCCCCTCTGGAAGTTCTTGAGAGGCGAGGCTGAAAACCCCTACACCCAGAACCCTACACCCGCACCCGTCTTCAGCTTTGTTTAGGCTCAGGTCTCACCCTCCTGATCTTGGGACTGTGGCCCCTCATCCCGATGCCTAAATTCCGACAAAAGACATGAGTTTAAGGTTTAGGCCTAAGGGCTGACCCAACTCTTCATGAAGGCTCTCGAAGATCCCAGCATCTTATGTCGCAGTTGGGGTTCAAGAGGTTAAAGTTCAAGGCGCTGCTGAGTCCCCAGTTTGGCACGCTACTGGTTCAGGGGAGGATGTAGGCACAGGAGTTAGCTTGTTTTGGGATCGCCGCGCTGACATAAGCCCGAAACCCCGCCCCCTGAGTGTAAATCCACATTCCCCGGAGATCCTCAACCGTACGGATGCCCGGATTAAGTTACACAGGCCCAAATCCCAAACCAGCACCCTGCTCTGACGGACTTCTTGCCTTCGATCCTCCGTCTGTGATGGCCTGAGCCCATGTCTAGACAAGGGTTGAGGCCCTAGAGCCGTAGGAAATATAGGCAGGGTTCAGGGTCCAGGATTTAGGATTCGGGATTTCGGGTATTGGCTGTCGAAGGGATGTGAGAAGATCCTCGATTTAAGTCCATGCGGCCTTGTCGGGTCTGACTTGGGCGGGTTCGCGAAACGACACTCGGCGTCAAGCTGAATGACACCCGGGCACAAGGGTTTGGGGGCTTAGGAATGGTGTTCAGGGTTAGGGTTTCAGATTTTCTTGGCACTCCGACACCAAGTCAAAACAGCGGACGCTCTGCGGAGTTGGGTTATGATACAGCCCCAAACCTTAATCGCCTTAGTCTGAGTCGTTAGGCCGAAGGAACTGCAAGCAATCCCTACCAAGTCCTCGCGTCCCAAAATGCAGGCCAGGAACGAGAGAATGACAGGCTCCACAATTGATGGCGCAGACTTTCACCCCACCTGGGCGGGATAGTCAAACAGTCCGGGCCTGAAGTACCTGAGATCAGCGTACACGTACACAGCTCCTTGGGTGGATGCTATAAACACGGGTGTCTGGGCTGATATGCGGTTTTTTCCTAACCTAAGTGCTGCTTTTCAAAAGCAGACTAGACCCAAAAGCCTAACCATCGAATTCATGAGGTAGATAGCATCTTACTAAATATAAGGTTAAACTTTCCGATTCCTACTAAACTATAAGAACCCCAAAAGTTTAAAGGTTAGGTATTTGGGATCTAAGCCTTTGAACTAAAGCCCCGAACCCCAGACGACTAAAGCCCAAAAGCCCCAATGCCCTCAAGACCCAAACCCCAAACCCTAAAGACCCGCACCATAAACCCTAAAGCCCCGAAAACCCTAAGCCCTAGAGACCCTAAGGACACAGAAGCTTCCAATCTATGACCGAGTCGCAGAGCTGTGGCACCTCTTGAGGGACGACCTGGTCCGAGAGCTTCCCCAGCCTTGGAATCGTAGGATTCTCGACGGTTTAGAGATCACGAAGCTCTTAGGGTTTAAGTTGTGGGTTTCAGATTCCTGCTTCAGGGTTTTAGGGTTAGGGTTCAAGTTCCCAGATTTAGAATTGAAGTTAAGGGGTGTTTTTGGCGTTGGGGCTTAGGGTCTCGTCATGTTGACTGTTGACTATGGGCATGGAGTTCTTTGTTGTCCAGCTTTGCTGTAGAGCTTTGCGTGTTGGGCGTTCTTGCAGCGTAGGATGCAGGGTATATGACATTCGTGCTTCGGGCTCGGGGGATTGGTTTTGGGGTTTAGGGTCAGGTTTCGGGTCCGGGGAATCGGGAACTTGGCCTATCGAACCACTCTCGCCCTTATGGCAAGCTTGCGGAACCCTTCTAGAACTTTGTCGAACCCTTGCAGAGCCCCTATGAGGTCTGTTTCATGTCCTTCTAGAACTTCCATATATATACTCCCTTTCTACAACCTTCAAACACAGCCCATAAGCCCCCCATTGAACTCTGGTGAGTTGTAGAACCCGTACAGCATCCTTCTGGCCAGCTCTTTTCTGGAACGAGACAGCGAAAACAGCTAAAAGCCGTATAGAATAAACGCTTAAACCCTAAACCCCAAAACTCTGAACCCTAAGCCATCAAGTCAAAATAAACCCCTAAACACTGAGGAAGAGAAGGGACCCCCCTCAGGAGCCAGCCCCAGTTGACCGTTCGCATTGGCGCCCCAGGCATACAAGCGGTCGTCCTCGGAGCTGCAAAAGCTGAGATCTTCTTTCTTTTAAGTAGGGTTTAGGGGTTTCGGGGTATAGGGGTTTAGGGTTTAGGGCTCCTTGCAGAGTTCCGTTTGGGGTTCCTTTGAGGGTCAACTAAGGGTTTAGGGATTTAAGGTTCCTAAGGTCTAGGAATCTTCGAGCCTTGTCTACAGTTATGACTCAGTGGGTTGAGGCTTTGGGGTTCAAAATCTTTGGAATTGGGAGTTGCCGAAAGGGGACCCTTATATAGTATCCTAAATAGTAGGATCCTTATTACCAGGGCCCTAGTTTTCGGAAACTCCCAGTTTGTGAAGGTCTAGGGTTGAACAGAAACTCGCCTTTGCAGCTTTAGAGTTTGGGGGGTTGGCGGTGGCTTACGGCGTAAAAGTTAAGGGGCTCTATAAGGGTATAACAGTGCCGGTTTCGGGTTTGTGCGGGATAAGGTTTAGGGTTGGGTGTAAAAAGATGTCAGAGTGTAGGGCACTTTGGGAGTGTAGGATTTTCGGGTTTAAAAGAGTTTGCGCGCTAAACCATGGACTCGGGGATAGCAAGTCAAGACGTTATGCACGCATGCACCATGCACCGTGATGCATACCTGACAGTTTGTATACGGCACCTCTGGGCGGAGACAAATTCTTGTGACGATGCTTTCCTGCCGTTGTATCGCTTGTTTTTCAATGCTCTGCGCCGGATCCTTTTCTCCCGAACCTGGCTTTGGCATTTGGGGGTTTAGGCGGGCTTGAGGCTTTTGGTGGCACTCCTTTTGAAAGTGCAAGGTTGCTCAGACCGAACTTGGACATGCAAGCGAAGGCGCTGACTCATTTCCACAGGCCAGGGCGGGAGGGTGCGGATGATTGGCGATCACATCCTCCTACAATCCCTATATCATCGTTTTATACCTTATCTATCAAGGCCCCTATTTACGTTGAACCCAGAGCCCTCATCGGTTCTCCCTGGGTCCTCCGTAACAGCCATGGTGAAGCTGTCGCCGGCTGCAATCAGCTTTACCTGCACCTGGCAGGAAAAATGCACGAAGGGCTACTAAACTAACCCTCCCTGGATTCTGTCACACTAACAAATTGGCAGACGTCAGCAAGTTTACATGTTTAAGGCTAAAGGGTTTAGGCTGTCTATCCTCTCCCGAGCCAGCAGGGAACCCGAAACAGAATGCCCATGCCTTTCAGGATCCATGCTGCGCTTGAAAAGGTAACCTAATTCTCAGATCCAGCACAAGTTCCTAAACCATAGATCCTAAACAAGCAATGAAGTCCAGCCTCCTCATCACCGAGAGGACCCTCCACGGAGCGAGGCCTCCAGATTGGGTACTGCCACCACGCAGCAGCAGTCTATAAGAAGGGTAGTATACCAAGGGCCCTATACAACTCATTAAGGGCCTCATTCAACTTATTATAGGCCTCTTTTATCCTATCCAGGGCCTTATCACTTATTACATAACCATATTATCATATAGTTGTTATTCAACTGTTGCTGAGTGGGGGCAGTATCCAATCTCTATACGGGCGCTGAGTCAGGGCGCAGTGGGTCGGAAACAATGGCAATACCGAAAATGAAAAATGGAAATATATGAAAATATTCAAGATCATGATGAGAAAAAGAAGAATAGTAATAACAATTATAGCAATGGTAATAACAGTTATAGCAATAAGAATAAATACATTCATAACTGAAAGATCTCCCTTCTTGGCTGTGGCGCGCGTGATTCTTGCAACCTGCACCCCGAAATACCCCAAAGCCTCTTTTGCCATGCCTCAGGCCTTGGGCTACTAGGCCCTGGGCCTAGGGCCTAACAGCCCAAATAACGTGCCGTTTTAGGGTTCCCTAATATGATTCTTTAACAAGGTCCTTGAAATGGTAGGTTATTTGGGGTTAAGGTAGTAGCCCAAAGATTGTCAATCCGAAATTCCTCCATACCTGAATCTCTTGACCTCAAGTTCCACCAGTTCAAAACCCCAGAAGCCACAGAAACAGAAATAGCGACCCTCACACTCCACACCACAAAGCCTAAGAACAAAACAAAAAAAGCAGATGCCAATTCCTCAGCTCTGGTCAGCCCCTACAGCTCCGAAACTGTAAAAGGCCCGGGCGTGTCCACGTAGGAGGCGTGTTTCGATTCAAGACCAAGTTGGCCATGCCTGCTGATTACTATGTTTATCGGCCCTTACTACCCCAACAAGCCACAAAAATGTGAGGTTAAACTTTCCGATTCCTACTAAACTATAAGAACCCCAAAAGTTTAAAGGTTAGGTATAGGGGATCTATGGGCCCTTTGTCTGGTTTTCTGTGCGTTTCGGCGTTGAAGCTGCTTTTCGGCTTCGTCTCTGGGGTGCAGGCTTGTATGAGCAAGTGGGAGCATTTTCGAAAATTAGGGGTACCTTTTTTGGGGCTCCTTATAATACGGATCCTACTATTTAGGGTACTACTGGTATATGAGGGTCCCCTATTTTCGGAACTGTAGCTTTAGGAGTGAGTCTCGTGCTTAGGGCTTAGGGCTTGACCATGTTTGTTGGCAGCATTTGGGTGGTTGTCAAAATGATGGTCCCTTTTTGGGGTACCCTAAATATTCGGTGCCGTACTACATTGGGGACCCAAAAAGGGACCATAATTTTGACAACCACCCATTTAGGGCTTCGGGCTTTCGGGTTGCAAAGATGTGTGGGTTATTTCCTGCTTCAGGCTTAGGAGATTGGGTCTGCTTCAAGGTTTGGGTTTGGTTCTTCATGGCTTGGGCAACATGTTCAGGGACCAGCTTGAAACGATGCCTTGCAAGGCACGACCGACCCGGGGCTTTTTGGGCGTTAAGAAGTTAAGAACCCGGGGTCTTTGGGTTTAGGGTTTTAGGGTCGGGCCTATCTGATTGAAGAATTTTCACGCACGAATATAGATATGGGTTGAAGAGGCTGAGCTTAGGATCTGCAACCTATGCGACCCGAGGCCAGGACGTGTTGTCGCCCATGGCATAGAGTCTGCCAGTGTCCGTAAGCAGCAAGCTATGCCTGCTCGGCTTACATGGTTTAGGATTCATTTCAGCGGAGGGGTTTGCAGTGTGGGCTGAAGAAACCTTAGGGTGCAGGGTTTTTCAGAATATACCATAATATACCATAATATACTATAATATACCATAATATTGCCGTTTTTGTAACTTCAGGTGTCAAGGGGAACACAGCAGAAGTCTACGGTCGAGTCCTCACTTCCTCCTCACCTTAAAGTCACGGATTCAACTCCCGAGAAACGCTGAGCACCAAGTGTTTGTCATCTACCAAGAAGCCCAAGGCTCTGAAGTCGTAAAAGGGCTCAACACCCTGTTCTATCAACAAGTTCACCCACAAAACAGCAACCGCCGCAGGTGTATTGACTGTACATAATCTTAATCGATGTAGTCAACCCTGGCAGCACTAGCACGACGCAACCAACTGCAAAAGAACCGAACATCCCAGCACTGTCAATGACGGTAGTACCAGCAGCTCTACGACCACGACCATCAACATTGCCGCCGCCATCACAAGTCACAAGTACCCGTGCCTGGCCCCGGCGGCGACCAACTTGACTGGGACCTGAGAAGAGAAGCGCCTGGCAGTAGGTTTCAAGGGCTTGCGGAGTGCAGTGTCTTGGGCTTTCGAGCTTAGCAAGGCAATTGCGGATGCGAGGTGGTGGTGAATCTGTCAAGACCCTCACAAACACGATTCCTCCCTCAAAAACCTGAAGAAAAGCCACTGCACATGGACGATGTAGCTGACAGCAACAGGCAGGACTGTTGTGCACAGGACCAGGAAGTCAAAACAATCGCCTCGTAAACAGAAACCCGCTACATGTATTGCTTTAGGCTTGGGGGTTCGGGAGCTTAAGCCGAAGGGAGTTGGTGGTGTGCCGGATTTCTCGCTATCCGTGGTCCAAGACAACTGCAACAAAGAGTCGACCTCTCGAGACATTGGCTACATACTTCAACATAATAAAACATAATGACAATGCTACTATTGCAATGGTATCATCACTGTTATGTGTTAGTTTTATTCTATATACAGTCTTACAAGACCCTTGGAATGAAGTCCCCTACACCCTCAGCCCTAAAAGCCCAAACCCACAATCAAGCCCACAGCGCCCAAATAGTCCCAAACCCTAAAACCCTCAATGAGCCTTCTTACCCCGCAACATCTATCTATTTCGGTTCCCAAGTCATTGCCAGCCCGGCAGTAGCAGCGGAGCCGACTGTCGCACCTTTGCTGGTTCAGAGTTCCTTCAGAGATTGTGTTAAGGGCTTTTACTACGTCCTATGCAGGGTCTACACAGGGTTTGCGCCCGGGATGTTGCATCAGGGTTTGGTCGGGGTGAAAGGTGTAAATTTAAGGGATTCGGGATTTTGGGTTCCTTAAGGTCCTGGTACTATTAGAACACGTACTGATGGGATCTTCTGTTTGAGGGTTTCAACAGGCCCTTCAACAGGCTTTCGGAAGTTCCTGACTGCCGACATCCGAAGCCCAAATCTGAAGTGCCTGGCTACCCCGCTCTGAACCTCAACACTTCCGTGTCCCGTTTTGGGCACCCGAAATATTGGGTGCCGTATTATATTTATTAAGGACCCAAAAACGGGGACCCTAATCTTGACAACCACCCACTTCTCTATGAGGGGCTTCTTGCGGCCTCCAACCATCTCGAGGCATGTATGTTGCTTGACACCTTGAGACCTACAAACCTTCTTGACACCCCTAGGCTCTATAAGAGCTCCCCGAGCAATAAGAACAAGAACGAAGGGCAAACGAAAACACACAAAAACCCACATAGCTTCTAGTATAGACAGCAACAATTTCAAACAAACATACGCACACAAGCTAGTATAGGCAACAAACAAACTCACTGGTCCAAAACCCAAGGAAATACAAGTTGACACTTTCAGAATCCACTACCTTATAAACGCCCCCAAAAGTTGAAAAGCTGAGTTTACAGCCCAAAAAATAACATCTAAACATTCACAACCAAAAACACACACACTCAGAGAGGTGATCTGTCACGCCAATTCGTGAGCTGATCTTGCTGAGAGTAGTAAAATACTCTCCCAATGAGGCTCGCACTGACCACTACAATGCACTTAAAGATCTCTGCACTGCAAGTGCGAGCGTTAAGATCGCAACCAGTGTACAGCTGACAGGATGCACTGTGTCACAAGCATAGCAGGTACACATCAGGACGTCTCCTGATGCATCACCAGAGACTGCGGGCGTCTTCGTTGGCAGTGATCCCACAGACTCTGTCACTGCCCCCTGCATTCTAAGCACTCTCAGCGGGACATATATCCCATTTACCCACGCTTGTTGGGATACTCTACGGGTGGCCGCTGCTCGTGGACACCTTTATGTGGTGAACATACGCACTTGTTCACTACAGCATCTTCCGTCCCGTATGTTCGATTCTTAGACTGGCCCTTGGATACAGGGTGTGTCTCACACACACCCCGCCTGACCGGCAGGGAAGTTTCTTAATCCATCCGTCCTACGAGGACTGTCAAACATGGTTCGTAGCAAATGTGCCTCACAATCTGACAACATGCAAGTGACAAAACATGCGACATGCTCCATACTCTCACTGTCATCATGCAGCTGGCGGAGGCTGTTGACTCGCAAACGGATTAAAGGATAAAGACTAAAGACTACAGCACAAAAGTAAAGAAAGCACCTCAAGAACTTCGTAGAGCGATACAAGATAGAAGAAAGAGTAAGTCATATAGGTTTTTTGATCGCAGGCCCTCAAACCGGCCACCACGCAAGAGCCTGTTTAACCTTTGCAGGAGCTGAGGCCGTTTGTAAAATCCCAATAGGCCTGGTCGTCTAATCATCAAAGACTGCACCGTCAGCGTCATCATTCAATGCATCCCCACTGCCACATGAAATCATTGAGTCGTTGATGTCGTCATGAGCTGAGTCACCGTCATCACAACCAGAATCATCACTGTCATCGCGTAGCGGGCCTTAGAAGTGCACTCGCAGCTTTAAAACAACAACGGCTCCCGACAACACGACTTCCCAACAAGTGTTAGCCCCAACAACATTACCCCAATCCTGGCTGATATGTTTGGTTGCTTCAAAGTCATTTGTCAGCACCTCCCAGCCACGACTTCAACCGCTCTTCGCCGAATAACAAAGCATGAAGACAGCGCACTCTAAGACCACAATGTGAAGCAGAGCTCGCTCTTGTGTCGTATTACCGGCATTGGAACGTACATACATACACAAGTACGAACATGCATGCATGCATACAGGCCGTGCCATACAAAGCACGCGTACATACCAGTACCATGCAGAGTGAGCTCATGTGACCTTCGACTCATGTGGCCAGGGTTTCTTTTGACGTCGTGTCTAACAAGCATGATGAAACATGGTTCGAAACAGCATCTTCGCCGCGCGGACGATGACATCAAGGCTTCGGTAGCTTTTACAAGTGAGCAATGATGTCTCGAGGGTAGCCCCAGCTTTGCAGAATATGTTTGAACTGTGAAACGGCATGGTAAGCGTCAGAACGAGGCCACGTGTACCTTCTGATCAAGCACAGCCGTGAACGAACTCCAGAAACCAATCGAGCAATTGACCCAGCCGAATGTGCATTCCGAACCTGCCACGCTCTCTGCGGCATGATGTACCGTACAGTGCGCAGTTGAGGTGAAATCACGAACCCAAGAAACTTGCCGTCATCCACCTTTTCCAGCATGATGGGGTCAACATAAAAGTTCGATTGTTGGAATGCCAAGAACGGGAGAGCACTCAAAACAGAGGATGAAGCAATCACCAGGCGATTGTCGACATACCGAACTGCGAAATAAGAAAGATCGGCAAGAGTAGCCTGGAAAAGCCAGTGCCATGTCTGCTCTGTGCAAACCACGGGTAGCGCGCTAAGTATAGGCGATATTTGATTTCCAATACTGGTGCCATCCGTTTGTTTCCAAATGGCCCCACATGCACGGAAAATACCCGTAGAGAAACTGGCTTGAACTATTTGCACAAGATCGTCGAGCCTGATGACATGGTTCCCTTGATGTCTGGACCTCTGCTTGAAATGCCCGCTGAACGACTTGAAATGCTTCGCGCGAATGTTTACGGAGATGTCGTATTCACCTTTCTCCTCCTTGTATAACAATATGAGGGTTTCAAGGGCCTGAACAATTCGGGATTGGGGGACTGAGTTAAAAAAGCCGATGAGGTCGTCGTTGACCATGCACAAATCCGCGTCAATAGGAGCTGTGGACAGAAACTGGTGTAACCGTTTCCAAATAAGTGGAGTAGCTGTAGACCCAATCTGCCCTGGCCAGCAAATAGCCATCATTTGCTCAATAGCTGCACATGCTCCCTTCAGCAGTTGTGACATGATTGCATTGTGATACCCAATCACGGATCTCCCTTTCCTGTAGTCCCGCTTCTGCTTCAAGAACACTTGCCCCCTAGGTAACGGTGCATCCACATTTATGCCCCATTTGTAACGACTGGCAAGACCTCTTGGAATGAAACCCGCAAGATTCAGCCTCCAAGCTGCTTCGTCGCCCACAAGCTTGGTGAACACTTGATTGTCATCCCACACGCGTAAACATGATGTAAAGTAGAACTTGGGACAATAGGCCATGAGATGCGCAGACTCATGATCTGCCAAATGCAGGACGAATGCTGAGCTCAAAGCCTTCTTGACTTTGAGGACATGTGACATCTGCAACTTGTGTACCCGGCATAACTGCTGCACATGCTGTTGCCACATCTGCTGCAATAACTGCTGGAATTGCCCGCTCACCACATGCCATGGAATACAATGAACCCGACACCACGATTCAAACTGTTTTGAACATGTTCGGAAAAAGGTATCCTTATCCATGTAGACAGGCGAAGCTGTGCTAGATTGGAGTATGTCCGTCATTCGCCAATCGGCGAACTGAAAGTGCTCTGCAGGGGTTGCAACATGCCCATCCACCATATTAAGATGAGGGTGCTTCTTGGCCCACTGTACACAATCACACGGCAACTGTCCCACTGTTTGCTCATGTAACCGTCGCTCCCACTGAAAATGGTTGTGCAACAAACTGCGAATGGTTGGATGAGCTGCTTCACGAACCGCACACGATGGCAAATGCAAAGGAACCAAGATATGTCTCAGCTGTGAAACGACACTCTTCAGGAACTGGGAGACCTTAGAGACGAAGCCAGGAGCCTCCAAGAACGGGATTGACAAGGAACGATTTGTCTTGGGAACGGTGCAATTCCGGAACTTCAAAGCTGCTCGCAGAATGGACAAGGTTCTTGACCTGTACGGTTGTTCCAAATTCTTTGCCATACGAAAAATGGCATACACCTCCTGATCAGTCAAGCGCTGTGACCTGAAAGTTTTGGCGGCCTCGAAGGACTGTACACTCAACGAAGCAGCATCAAACAACAGTTGCCAGGCATATTCTTTGTCAATGAGTGAAACAACTGGTTGACCTTTCGTCTTGGTCAAACGCCGTACTTTTAACCACAGTCTTTTGAACAAGCCAGGTGTTTTGGAGGGAATTTTGCACTTCACCGGGCGATATCCTGTAGCTTTCTTGGCAAGGAAGCGCATGACAAAAGGGTGGTTTAATCGCGGCTGCCATTGGTCTATGAGCAAGTGCTCATGCACCCAAGCTTGTTTAAACGAAGAATGACCACACAGCTTCAAGGTAACGAAGACGTGGTAGTTGCCCGTGTTGGCCCAGTATCGAATTGCTGGTTCCACATGCACGAACTGCCCTGATTTGACTTGCTTGATTTTCGCCCTGCGATTGCTTTCACGCTGCGCAACCTGTAACGCAGTGGACCCAATGTAAAGCCACTTGTTTCGTTGCCGAAAAACTTGCTTCCTGGAATGCATACCTGACCAATCAAACGGTGCCTTCAAGTAAACTGCACACGGAGACATGAACCAGTCGAATGAATAATTGGCTGGCTCAACGTTTAACGCACGCAGTCGTTCAAGCATAATCTGTTCAGGAGAAGAATTCCTGGAAAAATGAAATACCCATACAAGAAACATGAGTCCCTGCACCCACAATGCATATGCTTTGTCCACTGCCGGAATGCAATGAAGTACCACGGTACAAAATTCTGCCAGCACAATAGAAAGCTGACGTAGCTTCCTAGCTTCATGGCCGAGCAGTTGCTCAGAAGTGGGCCTGTTGGTAAGTCAGGCAGCAAGAAACACGGCTACTGCAATGCAACTGCTCAGGGATTTAACGCCCATCTTGTTGACAACGCTGACGGGGAGTCCGAACTTGACGACGATGCTTTGGGCTTCCTTCTTGTCGATGCTGAGCTCTGAAAACTTCTTGTTGATGTAATCAACATGATCGTTGAACTTGCTGAAGTCTCCCATCAACTGCTTCTTGAACGACTTGACCCAGGTTTGAACGTCTTGCTCGTTGTATCCCTTTGGAGGCTTGTATTTCTTGAGAACATCCGCCGGTGTTTGCTGAATGGCATGCTTGACTTGTTCCGTAGTTTGTGGTGCGAATTGCGATGGGGGGGACGGTTCTGGGAACACCAGTGCTGCGCTGCCACCTGGTTGGGATCCTAATTGGGATGGCTTGGGTTTGGCTGGCGAAATGGCAACTCCTGCATCCTGAAGTTGTGCTCTACGCTTGGCTAGTTCGCTGCGTAACTGTTC